AGCTAACCTCTTCATCGTGGAAAAGAAGAAGCGCACGCAAGAGGAGCCTTCGCCTTGGACCACGCGAGCTGCCAAAAGTCAAGATACCCAGAAATGGGCTGAACCAGGCAACCAGCCAGACCAGCTGCGGGGATGATAACCATCACGAGTTTGAATCGCTATGAAGGTGCTCTACGTCCATCGCTTTTTGCCCGATTTCTAATTTAGATGACTGCCAACCAACCTGCCCGAAACTGGGTGTGGTGTCCTTGTCTTTTCCGCAGCCGGCAACATGTCTAACTCTGGCCGGGGGTGACCTGTTGCAAGGTTGAACGCTGGATGCATGTGCAGATTTTCGTTCTTTGCGGCTATTCTCGGGTCCAGGGCATTGGGGTTGATTCCCTTTGATCAACCACGCGCCTCTGATGGTGTCGGGTCAGTGAAACCTGAGATGGATGTCTTCCAGCCAGAATTTGTGACTTGTCAAAGCGTTCTCCGTTCCGTTTCCCTTGAAGTTGTGAGCGATGGATCTATGGATGACACTTAATGAGGGCTACTGCACCAATCTGCCTATTTCACGTTGCGAGATTGTCGGGGTGAGACTTTGTCTTGCGGATCCCTTATTTCAGAGGGTGGAATGATTGTAGTTTGTTTTTGAAGTTCAGCCCAGTGAACTTCATAATTTGCCCACATTGGTTGCACGTGTCCTGTCTCTTCGACTTTCTTCTACTGGTAACAGGAATCCTATCCTCAGAGTCCCTTACACGATACATTTGGACCAGTTAAGCATCACCTCAACCAGCTTTAGAGGATGCACATTCTCGTAAACAGGCTGTGTTGGGATATATCTTTTGAGGAACACACTTTAACATTTGGCCTTTCAAGTCACGTCACTCTTGGGGTCTTAGTTTAACCCCTGCCAGAACCTCGCAGCTTGCGTGGGAGAGAACTGCAGCCAACAAAAGGATGCTCACATCCAATTGGACAACATTCAGCCTTCGATGTAGCACTTGATATTTTGTATTGTTGCGATCCTGTCACGATATTAAATAAATAAATAAATACATAAATAAATAAATAAGCATATATATATATTGTATATATGTATGTACATATATTCATTCTATGTATATGCATCTCCCCTCCAAAACCTAGGGACTCACGAGTTTTCAAGCTAAAGCCGAAAAGAAAAGTGAAACTCCAGCAAGTAAGCGTTGTTTTACTCCAGGAAGTGTTGCTTCTTCGCGTTTCCCCAAGGTAAACACGCAAAAAAATGGAAAAGCTTCGCGTCTCAAGTCGTAGAAAGCAAAGCTCCGTCAAGCACACAGCACCTTTGTGGGGCCACGTGACAGAGACAATTCCCCATCAAGGATCGCTCGCTGAACTGCACCCCAGATGTTTTTGCATTTTGCCCTGTTTGGCAAGAGACTAACGATTGTGTTTGTTTTTACAGGTTGGTCACCCAATAGCAGACAAATCTTTCCATTATTTCATCAATCTTCAACCCCTCCCCCTTCACCCCCTCCCTCCTCCCCCCCACCCTTCTTTTCCTTCAAAACCAACCTCAAACAGGATATCCCCCCCCCCCCCCCCCCCCCCCCCCCCATCAAAGAAACATAAATGCACCAGCATAGACCCCTGATAGCATGGGAGATTACAAGCAGTAGCTTTGCGGCATCGCCAAACAAGCACCGACAGCAACCACCACACCACCTTCAGCACACCAGGCAGTACCCTGAACTGAACCGGCACCCTGTCTGCACGCCAAACAAGCACCACCAGCGGCCACGGCACCTTGAGCGCATCAAAAAGCACCCTCCGCAAACAGCACCCTGACCAGCATCTTGGCTGGGTCGCTCAGCAAGCACTGCCAGACACTGGAGCACACGCCTTGACAAAAGCTAACAGCACCTTGACCAGCAACCGCCAGTAACCACCACAGCATCTTGAGCGCACCCCCATGAGCACCCCTGACTGCAGGGCAGACAAGCACCGCCAGTCCACGGTGACCTGCGCAGAAACAGCATGCTGACCAGCGCCCGACTGCCGCGCCAAGCGCGCAAATATGACCCTGACCAGCACCACAACCAGAACCACGACTTCATGCCCAAGAAGCAGCGTCAGCCAACACGACAAACAGCACCTAAACCACCCCCGAACACCTGACTTCAGCGCCAAACAAGCCCCGTGACCACCAGCGCAGCACCAAACAGCACTGACTGCAGACCCAAACAAGCACCAGTCACCACCACTGCGCCCTAAGCGCACAAACAGCACCCTGATCAGCACCCTAACCAGCACCCGCAGTGCCCACCTGGCTCGATTTTTGCTGGACAAGCGCCGCTTGTTGAGAAATAAGAAGGCGGAAAAAAGATAAAAGGGAGACGGCCAAACTCCAGAGGTTGACCATAGACTCGTTCCTAGGAGATTGACTTCGTGCGACGCACGATGTGGCTGCGGGTTGCCTGGTATGACGAAGAGCGGCACTTGGTGCAGCTCGAGACCTGTCCTCCCTTCAGCTGGAGGCGATGCGTGACCTGGGGTTTTCTGGCTGACTGGTCATTTACCCACTGAACGTTTGCAAACGGTTTCAAAACGGAGGTGTCCAATCACCAGACAGTTGTGTTTGTTTGTGGCACGGGGATGCTTGCTTGACCCCTTCTTCCAAGGCCTTACTGAGTGCAATGAATCGATCGACACTGCGCACCATGACAATCGATCTGATGGTTTGTAGCCCCACATGCATGGCGCATGGCGCAATGCCCTGTCATCGCCAGCTCTTCCCATAGAACCTCCCAACTGGGATGAACGTGCATATAATCCACAAATTACATACATGCATATGTATTTGCACACATACAACCTCGTTTTCGGACTCACGACCCTTTTCCACCTGTTCAAGTTTTCCTCGTCCCTCGCACTCTCATTCGCAGGCACAACCCCCCCTGGACATGTCGCTGCCGCCATTTGGGTCTGTTTTGTTTTAGGGAAACCCCCGTTGGTGAGACAACTGGGCAACCGCCAGTTTTGGTTTGGGGGGTCCACTGAAGAAAGGCGCTTCCTTTTCGGTTCTTTTTCGGTTGCGCCGTGCGCCGTGGGCCAGCGCAGGCACAAGTTCGCTTGGAAGAATTTGGGTGTCCTCGACAAGCCGCTGACCGCTGCCCACGTGGGCTGGCAGTGCGAGGGCGTGAATGTCTTGGCCACGGAGGAAACCGCCGAGCGGAGGGAAAAATCCGAGTGAAATACTTGGGCACACAAAAAAGCAATTTGTGGCTACCAAGCCATAGATGTCAAGTCTTTCACCAGTCTTTCATTCCCGTTCCACAGGTCTCCCATTTCAACTCGTTAGTCTTTCTCTTGTCTTCACTGGAAGGGCTTTGGGAATGTAGCGGCTTTGAGGATAGCCTTTGTGGGTGTTTGGGACACCCAAAGGAAACACCACCTGGGAGGGTTCCCATTTTCGGGGGGCACGTGTGGGAGCCGCTCCGCAGGCGGCACGTCTGGGAGATGTGGCGTTGATGTCCGCGCTCACCAACATGGGCGTGCACTACTCGGTGCAGACGCCCATGACGTGGCCGGGATGCCCAGAAGGAACTTGTCATGGGATCTCCGATGTGCTTCTCATATTGCAAGGTTGACTAAGTATGGAGACCTTATCATTTTCTTGGTCCCGGGTTTCAGCAAACTGGGAGACACTCAAAACCCAGGCTGGTAGGGGAACAGGTCTGGGTTTGACCCTGACTTGCCAATACCTAATTTCGTACCAGTGCTAAGTTTAGTATTGCCAAGCCTTACTCTCAGATTCCCGGCACCTAATTTCGCATTGCTGAATCAAAGCTTTGTATTTCCAAGCCTTACTCTCAGATGCCCGGTACTTAATTTAGCATCTTACACTCTGTGCTTCATTTAGCATTGCCATTTCGAAGCTTAATATTGCCAAGCCTTGCTCTCAGACTCCCGGTGCCTAATTTAGCATTGCCAATTCGAAGTTCAAGTCGAAGTCTAAGTTTAGCGCTGCCAAGCGTTACTCTCACATTCCCAGGACTTGATGTAGTATAGCCAATTCCAAATGTACTATTGTCAAGCTTTGCTCTCAGATTTCCAGTACTTACTTTAGTATTGCCAATGCTTAGTTGGGTATTGCAAAGCGCCACTCTCAGATTCCCGTTTCGTAATGTTACTCTCAGATTCCCTGTACTTAATTTGGAATTGCCAATTCTAAGTTTAAATTTGTCAAGCCTGACTTTCAGATTCCAGGTAGTTAATTTAGCATTGCCAATGCTATGTTTAGTATTGCCAAGCCTTACTTTCAGATTTTCTGTACTTAATTTAGTATTCCAAAATCTAAGTCTAAGTTAATCATTGCCAAGCCTTACTCTTACATTCCCAATACTTAATTTAGTGTTGCCAATTCTAAGCTTAGCATTGCCAGGCCTTACTCTTAGATTTCCGGAACTTAACAGAGTATTGCGAATTCTTTTTGTAGTGTTGCCGAGCCTTACTCACAGATTCCCGAAGCTCAACTTAGTATTGACAATTGTAAGTTTAGTATTGCCAAGCCTTACTCTCAGATTTCCGGTACTTAATTTAATATTGCCAATTGAAAGTTTAATATTGACAAGCCTTACTCTTCAAGCCAATCCTAAGTTTAGTTTTGCCAAGGCTTACTCTTAGATTTCCAGTACTTAATATAGAACTGCCAATTCTGAGTTTAGTGTTGCCAAGGCGTACTTTCAGATTTCGGCTACGTTTAGTCTGGCATTGCCAAGTACGAGTTTAGTATTGCTAAGCCTTCCTCTTAGGTTTCGGGGACTTAAATGTTGCTCGCCAATTCTATCTCTGCTGTTGCCAAGACATTCTCTCAGATTCTTCGTACTTGCTAAAAGCTAGTATTGCCACGACTTGCTCTCAGATTCCCAGTACTTGATTTGGTATTGCCCATTGCTAATGACCTTGACGTTTGAGGTGGGAAGAGCTTTCCATGAACCACACTTTAGAAGTAAAAGGCTAAGGGATTGAGCTGGACATCCCCCCGAACAACAAATACAATCAAATAAACAAAGATAGTAATAGTAAAGTTACGGGAAAAAAGGAAACACCATATACGATGAAAATAACAATGAAGAAAACACACGCACACAAACAGAAAGAAGTACAGGTAGCAACAAGATGGAGGTTGCACACAAACATAAGCAGTGCAGAATGTTTGATACTAAAGCGAACCACAAAACAGTCAGATTAAAAATAATCAGGGCCATCCTTGTCCAACCCTTGAGCCTAGCGGGGGTTGGGGTGGAAATGTTAAAGCTTCGGCCCACTGCAGCGCAACTATTCAAACTAGACAGATTCGAAACCCCGAAGACCGTTGTTTGACCAAGATTCGTTTCCGAATCCGGCCACGAGGTAGTTTCCGACTCCGTCCGTTTTCCCTTCCGAACAAGCCGCTCCGGACGAATTCTCCTCGGCCTCGAGCCTTGAAGCATGGCCTCGCCACAGGCTTGGGGTAGTTTCCTCGGGGAAAATGGCCGGAGAGACGGGCTGGAACCAAGCTTTGAAACAGCGTGGTGCACATCTTGTTGGCGTTCTTCAGCAAATCCAGGAAGAAAACCGCAAGCCCAGCACTGAGAACACTACTTTCCGCTTTTCAGTCGAGGTTTACGTCATGGAGTTTATCTGACTGTGTTGTGCGCTGAGGAGCCCGCTCCTATGCTGCATCATGTACCCCCTTTGGAACGGGACGCGCTTCCTGGTGGAGCACAAGGCGAGAAGCGGTCGCTGGGTCGCTGGGTCGCCGGTCTGGTTCCTTCGGGCCAACCACTTAGAGGGACCCCTGAGGGTGAAACCTGACAAAGCTTTGCTTTTGACACTCAAAGTCATCAAAGGGACACAGGAACTCCCAGGAACTCTTTGAGAATCCCCAGTCAGATCAAAGAAGTCTTTTTACATCTGCCAATTTGGGCCAAGCCTATGGAGCTCGGGATTTATTCCGAGGTGATTGAGGACCTGATTCTCGGCCTAAGACCTGAGACAATGGACTTTCCCTTGTACCCGTCCCAGCACACCATGCGAACGGCTGCCCTTTTGATTCTTTGCATGGAAGCATTTCGACAGATTTGGATGACTCACCTATAGACACATGGTTCTGGGTAGAATATGTGGGTGTGAAATTCTGTTTGGGCACCCTCCCATTTCAAAATGGCGGTTTTACTTGTGGTTTTCGTTCACCCGCAGTGGGGAGGCGGACATCAACTACTCCCACGATTGGCGCATGTCGAACAACATCCAGCGGCGCCAGCGCTGGACGCACCCGGAGGCCTTTGCGCCCGGCGAGTCGTCGGAAGGGGTTGGGTTTGGTGGCTTTGTTTGTTTGGTTGGTTGCAGTTCCCAGCCTCCAAACCGTGTTTTTGGGTTGGCTTAGTGGTTGGGTTTCCGAATTGAACCCTCTAAAAGCTCAGCTTTTAGTGGATTTGAGCCTAGTTGTGGCGTGGTTTCCGAGCCATTCCCCTTTTCGGGTTACCTCCAAAAGTGTTTTTTTTTTTCAATGGAAACCACCCGGGAAATCCAGTGACTGCTTTTGGAGAGGTTTGTTCGAAACCAACAACAGTCCATGGACTTTCGAGACTAACGTGCCACAATCAAGTCAATCAGCTAGAGGTTCATACCAGAAGTTCATGTGCTTTTTTCTTTTCAAGCCTAACCCCTGGTCTGTGTTCCTTTTTTGTGGGGTGTCTTCTTTCAGTGGGGCAAATGAAAAAAAACACATCACTTCACATTTCGGAGTTTTCGACCGTTTCCCGCTCTCCCATGTTGCTTCCAAGTGCATTTATCTCCATGCCCAGGTTATTTTTTTGTTTTGAACGGAGTTTTTCCCGAAAGCATTGCGAAGGGTTCTTCCGGTATAGTCGTTGCGTTCTGCACAGCTCAACTGCATAGGGAAAGTAGACAGCGAAATGCATAGAGGCATGCGTAGGGCAGGTGCAGAAAAAAGTGCATAGAAGGCATGCGCAGAGTAGACAATGAGTTGCATTGGGGCACGCGTAGGGCAAGTACAGAGTGAAATGCATAGGAGTATGTATAGGGAGAGTGCGCAGCGGAATGCATAGAGGCGTGCGCAGGGAAAGTAGACAGTGAAACGCATAGAGGCATGCGTAGGGCAAGTACAGAGTGAAGCGCACAGATGCATGCGCAGGGACAGTAGATAGTGAAATGCGTAGAGGCATTCGCAGAGTACACTGAGTTGCATGGGGGCATGCGTCGGGCAAGTGCAGAGTGAAATGCGTAGAAGCATGCGTAGGGAGAGTGCGCAGTGAAATGCATAGAGGCATGCGTAGGGCAAGTACAGCGTGAAATGTATAGAGGCAAAAGTGCACAGTGAAATGCATAGAGGCATGAGCAGGGAAAGTAGACAGTGAAATGCATAGAGGCATGCGCAGGGAAAGTAGACAGTGAAATGCATAGAGGCAAGCATAGGGCAGTACAGAGTGCAGTGCACAGATGCATGTGCAGGGAAAATAGACAGTGACATGCCAAGAGGCATGCGCAGTGTAGACAGTGAAATGCTTAGTTGGAAAAATGGACCGATTCAGGTTGAGTGTCATGGAAAGGGCTTTCGAGCCACCCGGCCTCTAGTTTTGTTTGAGGAGGGGCAGACGAAACACGAGCATGTGTTTACCAGGCCATATCCATTTGTTCCGGTTTATAAAGGTACATGGTTTATCCACAACCAGCCCGGCCAGGAGTAAATGGCATCCTTTGCGTGGAGTTCTCTATGTACCACCTAACGTACAGGCCAATGTGTTGTTTTGCCTTGCATGTGTATGGTTTGTGGCGTTTGTTTTGGGCGTCTTTGATTCCAACACCCATAGGACATGCCCTTGGCTCTTGTTCCTACCTTCCCTCCACTCATGGAAGCCGGCTTCATGATTGGACAATTCATGTGGCTGACCAAATAGAAACACATTCTGAATCATTCTCTCATTCCGCAACATGATTGCGGAAACTTGAGCTACAGGACTCCCCCCTTCACGTGAGACATGAGAATCAACCACTGGTATCACAACAAGCCTGTTTAAAGAAGCATCTCAAAGGAAGTTTCCTTCCGTTCAGTGCTGCCCCCCCTTCCCCGCCCCCCCCTTCCCCGCCCCCGGTGGTTATTTCCCAATCCAGTTGATCTCCCGCAACCATTTGGCTCAAGGCCCCTTTTGTGCAATATCATTGTACCATCAATGATCGCGTGAAGCAAAAGAACCTTTGCAGGCCGCTTACAGGATTATCCACAAGACAATCCACCAGGGACAATCCATCCTCCAATCATCCACATTGGCATATTGGACTCTCTCCGGAATAGATCCAGGGACCAACTACTACCACAGGGTACCAGTTCTTTTCTGGGATAGGCACCTCAAAAGCGGGTTTTCCGCAGAGATCCAAGGGAAGATGTCATCCGATGGAGAAGGCTTCATGGAAGCCTATTCAAGTATGGCCAAAAATCCAGGCTATACGGAAGAAACACTAAATTTATTGATGACCCCCAAGCAGCCGCCATCGTACGACGGAAAAGTCAGCTGGTTCAGGTATAAAGAACTCGTGGACGACTGGGTGACCATCACAACGGTGGAAGCACCCAAGAGAGGACCTCTCCTCAAGAGCAGACTCACAGGAGATGCATATATGTACAAGGCAGTCCTCCAAAATGACCTTTTGCAAGATCCTGATGAAGGAGTCAACTATTTCAAGAACACGCTGAAGAAGTACTTTTTGAAGGGTGCGACCAACGTGTATCTGTACAGACTCCTCAGTTTGTTCAATCATCGAAGGCAGAACCAAGAGTTCCTCATTTTTACCTCAAAATTCGAAATCCTTCTCATGAGATTGAAGGCAACATGGATGGACTTGATGCCCGTTTTCACGGCACAGTCCCCATCATTTCGACAGTCCGTTCAGGACGCAAATGCAAGAAAAATTGCTCGACATCAGCAAGCAGCCGGTGCTCGAGCACCGCCTCCAGCCCTGCTCAATGAGGACGATCCTACAGTCCTCAGACAGTATATCCAAGGAATGCAGGACAGACAGCGGGACGCATTTCCCTTCGGGGATAATCTCATTGCACAATTTTTCATTATACAAAGTGAGCTGTCAGATCAGCAAAGAGAAAGACTGACAAGTGCAATGTCACTGAGAAACATCTCACTCGAAAACTACTCCTATGAGATGCTGAAGACGCACTACCATGAAATCTTCATCACGACGAGGACATCGATCCAAGATCCATCCATCCGACCTCAAGGAGGCAACCGAAGCAACACATTCTTCATCATCGAACAAGGTGAATACGAAGGAGAAGAAGGCTTCTGGGTTGAGGATGAAGAAGGACTTGAAGGATTCATGTCAAACACCGATGAAGAGACGTTCTGGGTCCTCGAGGAGAACGATGCGTTCATAGCAAGAAAAGTGTCGGGGCGGAACTTCAAGTTCAAGAAGAGAAAAGGAAAAGGAAATTCAGGAAACAAAAGAACAGTCACCAACGAGGTGGCTTTAAACCCTTCAGAAAAAGCGGTTCTGGCGGAAAGGCCAATATGGCCAACGAAAACTATGATCCCTACGACCAGGCATATTGGGGAAAAGGCAAAGGAAAGAAGGGAAAGAAAGGAAAATCAAAATTCCAATATCCCTATGATGGAAACAAAGGTTATCCATCCTATGAGAATGGCAAAGGAAAGAGCGGACAGGAAAAAGGAAAATCCAAGACGTTCGCAGCCACCGCAGAGAAGACGGAGGAGCAGCCCGCCATCCAGCAGACTGCGCCATCCATAGAGCCTACCTATGCCGGTTGGACAGACCAAGACTGGGATCAATCATGGACATGGAACGAACATGGCTGGTACTCATCCCATGAGACATCCAGCACAGGACAAGCGTTAATGGCATTCCATGATGCATATGAGCATCCTGGGAAAAAGGCCATCCACGAGAAGCTGATCCAATCGGGTCAGCTACAGTTTCAGAACACAATCTGTCCGTCACAACAAATCACAGCCTTCTGGCAACAAAGCTGATGGCGCCTGTCATCAACCCTCAGCACAACCCGACCTATGCGATTCTGGACAATGGATGTACCAGATCTATGGGCAGCTCGCATGCAATCCAGCGTTTTACTCAGGCCATCGAACCAATGAAGGACATCATCTCCTATGAGTACATCCCGGCCGATTGCAAACGGAGAGACCGCCAGGGTAAACTGGACCCTGCATCTTCGATATCACACAACTCCTCCATGCAGTACAAACATCGACGTCCTTGAACAAGGAACTGTACCGATCCTTCTCAGCATCAGCCAGATGCGGAACCTCTACATGACCATCGAGCACACACCTCAATGTGACAAGATCACATGCAAGGCCTATGGCATGAACCGTCAAGCAGTTCCAGTATCCGGTACAGGACATGCACTCGTCGATCTCGCTGGAGTTGCAAGAGTGAAGGCGCATGGAGAAATTGCTCACAAGGGCCTCATCAACTATGTCTATGACGATGATAACAGCATCAAGTTTCCCTCCGGGGATCTCACCAAGAGCGAAACTGTTTGTGCAGCAAAATCATCCGAGACAAAGGGGGACCTAGCAACTCCTAAGATCATTGGGTCTCAAAAGCAGGACCATTGGATCCTTGACAAGAAGAACAAGCAGCTCATCCGTGCGCACATCACGCCCCGTAAGGCGCTGTTCACACCAAATGGAGCCAAGGAATGTCCAATCAATCCTGATAACATTAGCCGAGAACGTACTACGGAAATCATTGATGCATCCGCCGGTGGAGATCCAGACATTTTAGAAGACAATTGGAGACTTTACATCCCAGGCAAATAAACCGATGATTAACCTGTGGATAGGTAAGACCATTTTCACCTTCGCGGACAATTCGCTTAAGGACGAAGAAGCAGGTTCAGGATCGGCAGCAGACAGGATCATCGACAAGAGGGGCCGGTCGACTATTGAGCCAGATCCTTTCGCACCATCCTCAGAAGAACCCACATCGCTTCCGCTTGCCCTAGGCAGAATCCACAAGCCATTGTCAAATCCCGAAGAGTTGAAGAAACTCCACCTGCAGCATCATCACACGACAACAGATCAATTTCGATTTAGAACCCGAGCACTTCATTTGCCGAAATCAACATTCGATCTATTTGACAAGATCCGAAGTGAGTGTGAAGTTTGCCAAGCGGCAAAACATGCACCATCACGAAGCAAAACAAGTGGACTTCGAGCAGACACCTTTGGTGACATGACATTCATTGATCACTGTCAAGTTCCTCTT